TAGTAACACAAATCTCGATATAAATACTATTAATACTTAAATAGTATTAAACTTTCTTATCAAATATTATCAAATTCCTTACCAAAAACGATTATTATATCTCCTTATTCAAGATTATAGTGCACCACACTATCGAAAATAATGACGGTATTTTCTCTGAAAACATTATAAAATTATAAATCACTCGATTTACTCCACAATTTCATTGTTAATAAGCGCACATGAAGACTAATGAAAATAAAATTTGGGACTAATAATGAATAATGAAAAGCACTGTAATAAAATTCACTTACGTTTTTGTTTTTATCCAGCCGGTTCAGACACTTAATCGCTTATGGTTCGCCACAAATGAAACACGAGCACAAATGCTGCTCGCTGAGTAATGTCCCCATACTTATAACCTCACGATAGAGCGCTACGCTTCCCATTGGCCAATCAGCAATCGGGATTCACCGACAGCACGGTATTCCCGTGCGCTCGAACATGTGCCAAGGGATCCAAAGTCCGTTTAGGCTAACTGCGTTATCGGCTGACTCAAGTCGTTTAGCAAGACTATGTGGGAATCTGCAATCGTACGCTGCATTACCGCACTGATCCATGGATCCATAGACTCTGAGATAATTAAGATTAAGAGTAGACCATTCGTAGACTTTGATACGCTTATGACGAATTCGAAAGTCAACATTGAGTCTAGGAAGACTGGCCCGTCTGATCGAAAACGAAAAAATATATTTTCTTTTAGCTTAAGAAATTTCTTTAAATTATTATCACTTAGTGTTATAATTATTGCAGTTGTTATTGGCAGTATGAAAAAGTGTCCGAGGAATGTGCGATTCGGTTAAAACGAGCAAGTATTCTGATCAGCAGAATATTCGGTTCATCCATTTAGAGGCGGCAGTTGATGATCTTGATCCTCGCACACATTGTCAAGGGCGCTGCTTTGTGTGACTCCGATTGAGTTTTAACTGCTGCTCGTTATTTGTTAAAATATTATCGAAATTATGTATCTTATGCTAGCTTGATGTAACTGGATATTGAATCATGGTGGAGATATTTATATATATTTTCTATAATAAAATGATTAGACGAAATATACTAAGCTGTATAGACACTAGATAAATTCAATGATACTGTTATGTTTTCTTCAATTGATTAAGTTAATTGAAATAGAAGATACAACTTCGCTTATCTTGGAAATTGTTATTTCAGATAAGAGATTTGTAACATTTAGTATAAATTCATAGAATCTATAAAATTTATAAAGTTTTAATATGAATTGGAATCTACAGATTAATGTAGTATAATTTGGTCATCCATTATTACAAAAGTTACGGTCAAACAAAAAGTTTATTTAAATATATATCATCTGTTTAGTATCATTTACATTTAATAGAGTATTAAATAATTTAACGAAGTACTTAATCAATATTTAGCGAGTCGCCTTATTTACACATATTTATCATTTTCTTAGAATTAAATATTATAGTAATATTATACTATATTATACACTA